GGAAAGAGTTTGACAAAAATACCACATCTAGTGAATGTGTCCTTGATGTGACTCACCATAGTTCTGATTAGCATGTTGCTAAGTAGATGCTGGCTTCCTTAGTATTCCAATATATCACTTGCCAATTTCTATTAGGCATATTGAAATTATCATTGCTCTTCTTTCGCTGTTATTCCTGACCTTTTTCTTTTTTTCTTTTTTTTTTTATTTGCACGTGTGTTAAAGTATGAAGAAATAGTCAAGAGTTTTCCGTTATGTCCAGGCATCCTTTTTCAGAAGCTCCTGATGCTTTCTTCCAAATAGCATGGCTTTTTCTTTTACAAGCATTTGCCCCATAGTTCAAAGTTAAGGCTATTTTCATCCCCAAATGAATATTGTTCCAGTAGCAGCCATGCTGATGCCATTTCTTTTAAAAGATTTCTTACATTGCTTTCATATTTCATTCACCCTTTCTTTAAATTTATTTTTTTTTATTTCTTTAAATGTATTTCTAAGAGAAATATTTATTTCTGAGAGAACAAGGTTTGCAGGAAGAAAATATCATGTATTAGGCTAATACAGGTAGAAAAAAGAACATTCTTTCAGACACTTAAACTCATTGCCACCTTATTTATAGCCACTGTAACATGCCATAGTGTCACATGCACCTGTTCATCCAAGTCTTCCACTTCTTTTGCACCTTTTTCCATGGTATTGTGCAGAAGATATGCCAAGCAAGTTGTTGATTGGTTGCTTGTTTTTTTTGGTTTTTTTTTTTGTGAGGATCATATGCTTCTTTTAAGTTGTGCTTTTGTATATCACATTATAAAGTCAGTGCTGAAGAAGGCAAAGGTTTATCAAGATTGTTCCACAACGTTTTCTCGTGAGTTTCAACTGTTCCTGTGCGGCTCTATCAGTAACGAAAAAAACAAAATTCATAGTATCCACAGCTCCTTTCTAATAAGCATAACTTCATATTATTCAAGAGCTACTCTAGCTTCTGCCTATTAAGTATCAACCTATAGTGTGTTGCTGTGGCAGATCTAAACTACTACAGTAGAATAAGTAAATGACAGTTTTTCATGTTGTGAAAAACATCATCCGTGATATCATCCAAACTGTGATGCCAGTATCATGTTCTTTCTTCCCTTCCCAATTACTCTAGATTTCTGCCAGTCTTAGTCATCATCTTCATTATGATTTTCAGCTCTTATAGGAAGAAATTTTTTTAATTGCTTTGACCACTAACTCTGGAGAGAGTTTGCTACTTCTCTCTTCTTAGATGCAACCAACATGAATCACTTACAAACAGTTTTCTATTAACTGCGACTGAGTTTTAGATTGCATCTTTCTTGTATCTTTTGCCTGTTGTCATTAGGATTTTGCCACAGCCCTTTTTGTAGTTTCAGTATACTAGAATAACATTAACAACAACTAATTCCTAGGAGTTCTTCTGGTATTTCCAAACTGACATCCATAAATCCATGGGCCCCGATGGGATGCACCCACGAGTGCTGAGGGAGCTGGCGGATGTTATCGCTAGGCCACTCTCCATCCTCTTGGAAAGGTCCTGGAGATCAGGAGAGGTGCCTGAGGACTGGAAGAAAGCCAATGTCACGCCAGTCTTCAAAAAGGGCAAGAAGGAGGAGCCAGGGAGCTACAGGCCTGTCAGCCTCCCCTCCATCCCGGGAAAGGTCATGGAACAGCTCCTCCTGGAGGTCATCACTAAGCATCTGGAGGACAAGAAGGTGATCAGGAGTAGTCAGCATGGATTCCCCAAAGGGAAATCATGCTTGACCAACCTGATAGCCTTCTCTGATGGAGTGACTGGCTGGGTAGATGAGGGGAGAGCAG